AAATTTAACTGCAAATTACAAAGAGGGGGGATCATTAGAATATTCATTGCTCCAACCCCTTTCCTATCCTTCCTTTTGACCATTGTTCACCTCCTTGATAAATTGTAAATTCAGAGATGGCAACCACAATTTTCACTAAGATAATATCGAGCACTCGTTTGCCAAAATTACACCGCACTTCAGGCTACCTTATAGAGGGAAAAAGGTAAATCTAGTTGCGACACAACAAAAATCCTACGGCGATATATAATGACAAGAGATGAGAAACTGATAGAACTTATCCCCGTGACCCATGGTAATTTCTATTTTAAATTTCCTGCTACGCCGGGAAGTTATCCATATTCATACCTCGCATGATAACGCGGCGAACGATCTCGATATCATCTGTCTTTGCAGATTTCGGTGATCACGTTTTAAATTAGTTTTTAAAAGCTGTTACCACTCACTATCGTAACAAATTTATAAGTGTTTGTCTCACCATTCGAATACTTAATGATATAATAGTTTACATTCGCTTGATAATGACTAGTCCCTAACTTCAACCGTTACATACAACTACATTTACCACTCTTTTACATTTGTCTATAATGTACATTGCAACGAGACATTTAGTACATTTCATTTCATTTTGGAACAAATATGTACCTTACATGGGGACTAACAAAGCACTGCTACTCGTGGGCTTACTATATTTAACATTAAAAATGAGCCACTTTAGTTACCTTCATTACATAATTTGAAATAACACAGTATTCACGTTACTCTACAAAGCAGAGCAAAAAGCAGAGCCAAAAAGTTTTTTTAAAAAAATAGGCTTTGCTGCAGTTAGTCTCGTTTTGACATTTTTGTAAGCGGAACAAAAAAACTTATTCATCTATTGTTTTGTTAGCTCTTCATCGCTTCTGTTTATATCATTTTCACCCATCACAATGCATTTTGTAACAATTGTTACGCAACATTTAAACAACTTTTAGTTTCGACAAAAACACAACCAACTCAAGGATTCTCGTTTACGAACTTCTGGCAGTCAAAGTTGAGTACAGACTTGTTACGAGTTCTCTTTAGGACGAATGACTATTTCATCAGACTTGAAACACATTCAAAGATTTTTCTTGATGTAAGCTCTTTAAAAGGGGTCAATAACTCTTTAAGCTGAGTTATCCTTGTCACCTAATCGTCTCAAGTTCAAAAAGAGAAAACTTATGCACTGAACTCATAGCCAGTGAGTGCAACAACCCAAATCAAAACGAATGTATAGTTTCATTAAGACAAATCAGTCACAGCACTGAGACTGGAAAGTGTCTGCATTGATCGCAGACTAAAGTAGTTCTTGTGCTAAATGCGGCTATTTTCGTAAAATTCTTTGACGAACTTTTCTGATTCCCTGTCAAATTCTTTCCAAACTTGGGGCGACGCTGGCTTCCCTTGGTAACCAGGCAAGGAACTACGTATTCGGGTGGTGATTGAAACGGCAGAGTCTTTGTGCACATCATCGACGTCTTCTTCTCCTCCTCCTCCTAAAAGAGGTGATCGCTCCGCTGAATGATAGTTAACAGAAGCAGGGGGTCTTGGTTGTAGCAAGGTTTCCAACCTTTCCAGCTCTTTCGACAAATCATCACTGTTTGCCATCAAGTTTGCAGCCTGATGGTTCATCTTGCTAAGCTTTGTACATTCTTTAGAATATGGGCCATGCGTCTCTGCAAACTTCATGTAAACATCGCCAATCCTTCGAGGTAAGTCTTCCTCAAAAAAGGCAAAGTAGTGAATCATTTCATCTCGATATTTCTTCTTTTTCTTAAGAACATGGAATATTCTTTGAAACCAGCTTATAACAGTGGTTGTGACGTCTTCGAACCGTTTTGACTGATAGCGACAGGGTGTATCTCTTTTCTGCTTTGGAATCAGGTCTTGATCCCAGCTGACGAAAAACTTACTTGCACCAGAATTTTCAAACGCGTGTCGGTGGTTTACGGGTAGCACGAGGCAGTCCTTGAGATTCTCATAGTCCAGCCTCTCTTGGCTTAGCTTCAACACTTGTATGTCTCCAGGATGATAGCAGGGGTCAGGGCAAACCACGAGCTCTTCAAATTCTTCGTCATTTTGCAGGGTCGGCTTGAAGTAACACTCTCCTTTCTTAAGCTTCCCATAAGGGTCACCAACCCCGAACACCACTCTCGCTTTGGGTACCAAAATTCTTGTACGTACTGCGCGACGTCTTTGTGGTTCGCCATTATTTGCATTCTCGAAAGACTGAGCAAGCATCTTCTCTACTTCACCTCGTTGCAGACTGGCCAAAACTTCTCTTTCGGTTGTTGCCTTTCGTCCAGTAAGTTGGCAGAAATAATTGCCAGACGCTGAGTTTGTACACATACTCTTCAATAGAGTCAAATAGCCATTCTGCAGTGACCTGAGATAGTTCATCGACACACCTCTGATTGCCAGAAACATGACCAATCGAGAATCAAGGTAGCCGTTCACGTCAGAAGCGGAATGATCAACAATTCCAATGAAAGGAATTGCCTCGCCGTCCTTCTTGCTGGGAGTGGAAAACAAGCGCATGGACTTGCGGAATTGGACTAGGGGAACGTTCATTAGAGTTTCTCGAACTACCAAAATACCCTGAAGGCCTTGGTTGCTCACTTGAAGGGTACTAGGTGCAGGGTGATCCACGCCAAGCTTGGGTCGCACCTTGAGGGTGAATCCCGGAGACATGAAACCACGACCGTTAGTGAAAGGGCGAGGCATCTTTTCAAAGAATCTGCCTTTCACATCAGGCTCTTCTCCAATATCATGCTCACTAAGCTTCACTAAGTGTTCAAATGGAACGAATAACGAGCCAATTTCACTAGCGCGTTTTCGAACATTTGTTGTATTAGCGAAATCGCCAAACCGTGCGAGGAGATCGTGAATTTCAGTATCTGAGGCGTTCATAAAGTAGCACTTTCTCTCCCAGAGGTGGCTGTCGGAATGTCCAAGGAAATGATACGAACCACGGTTACTGCCATCACAATATAAGCCTCGCCTCAAGACATCCTCGCAGAAGGTCTTTTTCTTATTTTTTTCCGTCAGTTTTGTGTTGAAAGAGACGGCTATCAGCTTCTCGGGAAACGATGGGTCCTTCTGCCTCATGTGTTCAAACAGAAGGGTTTTATCGAGTTTTTTAATCCCCTTCTCGTATTGTGTTTCGTCTTCGCCATTAAATTCCACGTATTTGATGTAAACTTCATCACCGGTGGGAGGAGCGATGTTGTCTTGGAAACTGATGCATATAGCAAAAGCCATGAGACCCAGTTATCGCGAAGAAATCGTAAGATTGCTGTTGATAGGGAGACAAGGAGTTGTTAATTGACCTTTTCCAAGATTTAACGTTTGGAAATGATCCGATGCGTTTGCGAATAGCACATTGGAAAAATAAAAGTGCTGAACAAGCTTCAATATTGCAACTAGACTCGATGACGTCAAATTTACGCTGCTAATTTACAGATATGGGAAATGGCGTTCGACGGTATAACTGTACATAAACTTATGTTTCCTACGCGTACAACACAGAAAAACTATGGAAATATATATATATATTCATATTTCACTAGATGGTTTGGTGTGTAGTATCGCTGAATATTTGAACGAGTTGCGTCGTATTTTGACGAGCCCGTAGGGCAAGTCAAAATATAAACAACGCCAGAGAATCCAGAAGTACAAAACATCATACAAAATGCCAACGAATCGTTCTCCATGAAACATTAAGATACCAAACTTTAAGTTCAAATTCTGTAAGTCGCAACGAGACCGACTGATATACTAGTCAAGAAGAAGTATTCTTCCATAAACAGCTCAGCTGTTCGCAAATTAAACGTACCACTTCAAGTTTATCTGTTCTAGGGCAAGATGGAAGGAAGCTGATGTTTCCATCAATTTCTTTATACTGACAATGAACCTGATTGATAACCTCATTTTTCACTGGCAAGAGCAAACCTGAACTTATTCGATCATAGCTAGTTGAGTTAGCTTGGCTATTGAATAATCTCCCTCAATGACTGTTCAGACTATATTCAGTTTCATTCTAACCGAGCAAGGTAAAAAACGTTTCAGTGATGTCTCTAGAAAATAGCTAAATACCTTCAGTCTGACTTCCCCTTCACAAATCTTGTTTCCTTCAATGGTAGAGTGCAAGGAACTACACTGACGCAGTGAACAATTTGTTTTTTTGAAAGTGGACCGCAACCGAAAGCAAAACTTGGGGGAATCCCCTGACCGCAATTGAACATTACTTAGACATCCTTTTTTTAACATTTGGCTGAAGGCCCATTTTGTAACCCTCTCCGGCTTGGTGCCTTTGATATGTTGACATGTTCACAACAATGGGAAACTCTCTCCGGCTTGGTGCCTTTGATATGTTGACATGTTCACAACAATGGGAAACTCTCTCCGGCTTGGTGCCTTTGATATGTTGACATGTCCACAACAATGGGAAACTCTCTCCGGCTTGGTGCCTTTGATATGTTGACATGTTCACAACAATGGGAAACGTTAACATCAATTAAAAGCTTGGTAGGTGATGCGAAGAAATTCCAAATTCGTAAAAAACAAGTGCAAATGTCTGAGAATAAAACCTGATTGTCCTGGCATATGAAAATAAATACAGACATGATATCGCAATAAAAACTGAGTTTGTAAATAAACAGAATCGGTAAGCGACGAACGATGGGAAAGTTAAGGGGGATGAGGATAGGAATTTTTCAATATGTATAATTGTTCTTCGGTGAAATCTCTTGCGTGATTATTCCATGCTGTAAAAAGTTTAGACAGCTGTAAACGATTGATGACATTTTTTTTAACTGCTCGCATGTCTAGAAATGTGTTTATCTGATTGAGGTATTTCCGAGAAATTCAACCTCTTAACTGACGTCAATGGTCTGTTCTCGAAAAAGTATTTCAATTGCAAACGAGCAGGGAACCCAAACAAGAAATAAAGCACAAAAGATGCATAAAAAATGCCACATGCAGCTACATAAAAACAAAGAAACTATCAATTACGTGAAGGAACTCTGCACGAATGTCTAGACGCTATAAGGGAATTTCCCAAACACATCGTCATATACAAATTCAGCACCATGGGAACTAGAGCCAAAGGGTGTAAACAAGGCCGTGACGTTTTTATTCGGCGGAAATACACTGAGTCGAGATTATTTTAACTGAAGAGTCGGTTGAGGAAAGAGAAGATTTACCAGCAAAGTTGCAAGGTAGGAAAGTAAGAAGTTTGCTCGCTTTACAAATCCCCTGGCAAAGCAGGAACCAAAAGTCGCAAAATCAACGAGACAACCGAATTTGGTGTTGTTAAAAGACAACTCGAAGACTAAAGCATCTCTCGAGTTTTACGCTCGCCTCTGATTATGTCTGTAGAAATTTAGTCTCTTTCGCGCAAACGATCAATTAAACATGAGCTCGTGAGAAGGGTCAGGACAGTTGAACCTACTAAGATCAATATTTGCCAGTCAAGCGCATACTCAAGCTAAAAAAAACCGAAATAAACAAAATGCGGGTTTTCCCGGCCGCATCTTCTCTTTATCAGGAGGAACAAGGCCCTAGAGGAATATAGAAATCTCTTTAAACACGAAAAAGTACTCTAGTTATAACATGAATCTAATGTCTCTCTTGGTAAATCTTCGTTTATGCCGTCGCAAAGACACGGTTCTCGACTTAAAATAACTAATCGGCGAGCGGAAGTTCGAGTCAGCGATTCGTGTATTCTGTTCAACGCTTGCGACAACCGCATTGCACGTTTTTCGACAATGACACGTTAACGCTATCATAGGTTTTTCTCTTCGGAGTAAATCGGCAACTTTACCTCTAATTAACCTCAACTTGACAAACTTCATTTGCAATTCAATCGCTGAAGCAGGAAATTAATTGAAACACATGTGTACTTTATAATTTCGCATAAAAATTTCATTTTCGTTCTTACCGACTGAACTTCAAAATTGTAGAATTCCGAATAGAAATTGTAAGAGAAACAGAGATTCCATTTGTCACAACAACAGTTGATTGCCAGTCGGAAAAACCCCTATTTTAAACGGTGATGTATAGAATTAATTATTCTTGTCTGGATAGTTCGATTGTGCGCATCTAAGCCTTTCAAAACTCGTCATTCCTCAAAAACTCAGATCTGTCAAATATTTAAAAATTAAACCTTCGATATGGTGGAAAAAGAAAATCTAATAATAAACAATTTTTAAGAAAGTGTAAACCCTTGATGGTCGGTGAAAGGAAACCGAAAGTGATGACACTGCGGGAATTTTTGCTGACATGCAGCTGCAAGTTCTAAAGGCCGAACATATGAAATACAAAACCGAACAAACAAGATAGCCTTCTCGCATGGCACATCCTGATTGGTCCCACCAAATATCTTACATCGTCTACAACAATTGCTGAGGCTAAAATTAGTGTAAAGGGGAATGTCCCTATCATTTCTGACCTTAAACAGCATACCTATTCAACTAATGCAGTCACGAGGCACACACTGTGTTCATAATAACTCCGGAGAAGGTTTGGATTTAATCGCTTGGTTAACAGAATCGCTTGATTTAACCGCTTGGTTAACAGAAGTTTGGAAAAGCAGAGTAAGGAACTAAATAATCAGTGACTGAAATTAATCAATTAATATCACTATCAGTTAGGAATGATCTTTCTTTGTGGATTTTATTGCCGAGCATCCAGTTCTAGCCCTGCTGACTCATCGTGTTCCGTATATCTGTTTTAGATCAGTATCCTAATTTATCTAAGCTAGAACGCGACATGAATTCCTTCAGAGCACCTTACCAGACTTACATCAACTAGGTGAAAAATGCAAAATCCCACGGCTTTATTGCAAATTTTAATACAAAGTGTCTCAAGTTAGTATACATACATCCTCCAATTGAGCAATATTATACAATATGATGTGATAAATTGATAATTCCGGCAATGGTATGTAAATGACTAATCGTTGTCTGTCCGCTGTCTAACGGACCGGGTCATGTATCGATTCAACTACTCCTCGTCTTGAAGAGGGCATACATATTTGAGTTAATAACAAGGAAAAAGGGTTATATTTTATGGCACGCGAGGTCCTTTCCAGAAATGAGCTTATTGTTTGGGTGTTCCGGGGTATCTCAGCGGCGCTCACAATGTTTGTAAGTGTATTCATTCATTCAAGCTCTGAACCTGTTTAATTATAGGAAATAGAGTCGAAGATTTCCGAACCCTGTCAGTCTACAAAATACATCAAATGGCCTATCATCTCTGCATAGACGAGCCAGACACTCCTAGGCCAGCAGAGACCACCGAAGATGATGTCCACCTAATTCATGTACAATTCCATGGCACCGATCGAAACGACTATAGAGTTGAGTATGAAAAGCACAAGAGCACCATGCTGACAGAATACCTGAGACAACGTGATGGGCCTGACTTCCACGAAAATCTCATGAAGCTGACTTTTGATATCACACCTGTCGAAGATGCAAATAAGTTCTGCCGAAGCGTTTTGGAAAGGGGGATATTTTGTCGTCGGCGCCCATACATCTACCTCGGTCACTCGGATGAGCAGCTTGCCAAAAAATCTTGTTACTTTATTGCGGCAAAACATGAAGAAATCCACGACCTCTTGTCAAAGTTTGGAGACTTTTCTGATGAGAAAAACGTGGCAAAGCGTGCCAGCAAAATCGCCATGCTCTTTTCACCATTGACCGAAACTGTACAATTGGCTGAAAATGATTTCAAAGTCGAACCAGATGTGACAAGTAGAGTTTTCCCCTCGCACACTTTCACCGATGGATGTGGTTTCATGTCCTCAGAATTCGCTTCCGAAGTGCAAGAAGTCTTAGGTCTTGACTACCAGCCTAGCGCCGTCCACGTACGCTATCGAGGCATCGAGG